AGGTTACATGGATAGAGCATATGGAGGTTGATGATAGATCGGTTCATACAATGTATAAACCGTTGGTACATTCCGGTTTAGCTTTTGGTGCGAAACGTTGGGTGTCTACACTCGAACGCCAATGCGAACGGCTAGCGAGCTCTATGGCTAGCAACATTCGTGCGGGTGATCTTTCCGGTGAGGGCTACTTTGATAAGTTTGAATATGGTGGGGCTGAAGTGAAAAGTATTTTTATTTACTCATCATGTCCTTTTATTTTGTGGTAATTATGCAGTGATAACTGGTCCAGAAGGGAGGAAGAGCATGTTGAAGCTAGCTGAGAGGATGGTTATGAGCTTCTGCAGTGGCGTAGGCGCGTCGACTGCACACGCGTGGACGACAATGACGGCTACAGGATCCGATGACGTTCGGGTTATGACCCGGAAGAGTATGGATGATCCAGGAAGACCTCCGGGTATTGTTCTTAGTGCAGCAACTTCATTTTGGATCCCAGTGGCTCCAAAACGTGTTTTTGATTTCCTCCGCGACGAAAATTCCAGAAGCGAGGTAATCAAATTAAAGTTAATTCTCTTAAATAGTTCAATCTTGAAATCAAATTTAATTTGCTGATTTTTGAGTTTTCTTGCAGTGGGATATTCTCTCAAATGGAGGAACGGTTCAAGAAATGGCTCATATAGCCAATGGTCGAGAACCTGGAAACTGTGTCTCCTTGCTCCGAGTCAATGTAAGATCAAGATTTTCTTCTTCTTTTTCAAAATTCGGAATCAAGATTGTTTGTTTGTTGGTTGTAACAGAGCGGAAACTCGAGCCAGAGCAACATGTTGATTCTACAAGAAAGTTGTACGGACGCGTCTGGTTCGTATGTGATTTATGCACCGGTGGATATAGTGGCTATGAACGTTGTTCTGAGCGGTGGAGATCCTGACTACGTGGCGTTGTTGCCGTCTGGTTTTGCTATTTTACCTGATGGTTCGGTCGGAGGAGGTACCGGAGATGGGAATCATCAGGAAGTGGCTACTTCTTCTGGAAGTTGTGGTTCGCTATTAACTGTTGCGTTTCAGATACTTGTTGACTCTGTTCCTACAGCTAAGCTGTCTCTTGGATCGGTGGCTACGGTTAATAGTCTGATCAAATGTACGGTGGAGAGGATTAAAGCCGCCGTTGCTTGTGACGGAGGAGGAGGAGGAGCCTAATTTTTTTCAGGTATAAGTATATATGTTTCTTGTGGAGCAAGTAACATATGATGA